TACATAATATATAAATTTATAAACTAATTTGGTATTCGAATGCGGTAATACGGTATTCTATTTTGTTTTACCGAATTTGAATTCGAAATCGATTACTATCAAATTGATAATCCCATTACCTATTTCATACCACATTATAATTCGGTGAATTTGGTAAATACCGCTTTTATACCAAATTATCAAATATCCGATTTCAAATTACCAAATTGAATTTGAAATCGAGTATGAATTCAGTTTTTACCAAATTTGCTCACCCCTATTTCTAATATTTGATTGACAACGACATGAGTGCATGACTTGTGGAGGCAAACCGGGAATTAAATATTTAAATTCAAATTCCATGGCATTGTTACTTTTAAATCTGAATCGATGTACTTATAATTAGTTTAGGAGATGAGATTCGAGCAAAAAAGAAAAGAAGGGAAGAGAGACCTAAGTGTTTCCAACGTTTGGAAGTTTCATTAAAAATCTTTTGTCCAAAATGGACAAAAAATGAAGGAAAGTTGCAAAAAACACACAAAAAAATTTTAAATTGCTCATTTTATTCTTAAAAAGTTATTGAATGAAATTTTATTGACCTATCTGTTCCAAAATCAGCACCTTTCTTTCATAAACTCCCAAACAATATTAAAATATTTTTCTTCTTTTCTTATCGTTTCTTTTCTCTCATAACTTAATATTTCTATTCTTTTCTTTTCTATCCTCAATTTTTTCCCTTTTTTGTTGTGTGCCAAGTAATAATGGAGTATTTTCGAGTTATTTTGCAAATTAGACAATGGTTGGGACTAAGGAGCGCTATTGCTATTTTTTACTTTTTTATTTTTTACCGTAAGGTGAACGCTGTTAAATTAATAATAGAATAAGGGGCTAATTATAGTTTGCTCCCTTGAATTTGATTCTTTTTATCACACTGCCCCTTTAAACTTTAAATATATACACTTTGCCCTTTTCATTGATTACGTCAAACGTAATGATGAATTCTCCATCCAAAATTTTAACAAAATAACATTAATGTCCTTACATAATAGTTATAGAATAATGTTATATTTTTAATTGAAATATGAAATATTTTATTACAAAAAACATAAAGTCATATGATTTTAAAAAAATAAAAAAGATGGTATAATACCAAAGAATTGAAAATTTTTATTGTGGAGAAAATGTGACGCCCCCACTTCTTCCTAAGGCGAATCAAAGAGTATCCGCGGGACGCCTGTCCAACTCTTGCCAGGATTCAGTACAATTTTAGTCCAAAGTTAAAGACTAATACTAACAATGAAAGTCGAAATAAAGGTACAAAGTCCATTCCATACATAAATATTCAATCTTACATCACACGTTCAAAATACATCCACTTTTCAAAATATACAACTACCCAAAAGGATGTCTAGACAAATACATTACGAAACTATAGTCAAAAGAGCCATCAAGTAGGCTTTTCCATAATTCTTTCAAATCCAGCTTCTGTTAAGGAAAACAAATTTAACGGAGTGAGCGGATGATCGTGAGACAAAGAAAACATGCAAAACACATAGTTCACATAACAATAACACTTGAACAAGAATGAAAGTTGTAGCATTCAAATAATTCACTTTCAATAATAAACACACTTGATAAGGACACGGGAGATCTCAGGAGTTATATTCCACTTGCACAATCCAAAACCTTCTCGAGTTGACACTCCGTCAATCGGGTAGGTTATAAATCCGTAGAATTTCACTTATTTTTCCCCGTTCACCGTTGCTCCCCCTGCTCCGGACCCACACAACTTTTATAGAAGGCTATACTACTCGAGTATGCCAAGCGAGATTTCTCCAGTAGATCAAGTTTTTACACTTTTTTCATGACTCACCAAAATTTCCGACCAAACCCATGTCAACTCGAGTCCAATGTCGACCAAGGAGATTCACTCCAACGACATATGCAACCATAGCATAAACGAGAACGAGTGCGATAAAGTACACACTCGACTCGACATGTTAAAATACTCAATCAATAATAACAATTAAACACGTAGCAATTTTACACACACTTGACACTTACCAATCAAAATAGGGAGTAAGTGCTTAAACCACTTTTAGGTTTCCGCTTCGAGATTCTCTTGAAGGTCCCCTTGAGCGCCTGAGCAAATAATAATTTACTATCACACACTATCACTTATAAACCCCTGGTTAACAAGGAAGATTGTATCCTTGTACAATACTAAGAAAATATCATGAAAGAGAGCTTTAACTACTCGTAAATCGAGACTCAAAAGTGTGGTTTAATAACACAAGAAAAAACTGATTTCCTTCATGAAATCAAGTTTAAACGGTCAACCAATATCAAAAGATAGGGAAGAGTTTCCAAAAACTCATTTCCCATCGAATCGAAAAATTTCAGTTTTGCACGACAAACTTAGAAAAATCAAAACTTGCACTCAGTAGGTCCAAAATTGAAAACTTTATACCGTTGGAATCTTGGTTCAAAGTACTAAAAGTTCTCAGAAGACATCTTTCAAAGATTCTAAACGGAAGACATTCAAATTTCAGACAGTGAATTTTTCAGATTTCCCAAAGCAAATCTGCCTTCTTGCTTTCTTTTCCTTTTCAAACACTTTACCCTATAAAATCAACCCCATTTTGATTCATTTGTGAAACCAAAATCCAAAAAACATTCTATAAATAATTAGTAATTGGTTGACATCAAAATTTCAAAATAAAACTCCCACAAGCAACCAAATCATTCGGCCAGCCCAAAAAGAGGATTTTCCAGTTTTGTCACAGTTTGGAAATTGGACCATATCTCACTCCTTACAACTTTGAATCGAGAATGGTTGGTGGTGTTGAAAATTAGAATCATAAGGCTATATTTCATCAGAATAAATCGTTTTGAAATTCAGTTTGCAAATGAGAGAAAATAGAGCCACAAATTGCAGTTTCTACCTTTCTCTTGGATAGGCTAATAGAACAGGGCAGCCGACTTTGATCAATCACTACAGATGACTCAATTTGAATTAGAAGGTACATTATACACCGTTAGAAAACTACGGATGTCTAGTTTTGAATGCCACTGACGGTACTTAATTTTGACGTCCGGACAGAGAGATATGTTTGTTCAAAGAACACTGCCAGAGGACCACTGTTACACGAATTTCCAGATTTGTTCTTGCCAAAATTCAATTTTTATCCAACCAATTCAAATAATTTTTGGTAGAAACTTTCTACACACACTATATAACATATATACATTAGTTTCAAGATCATTTGAGCAACAAAAAATCAAACCAAAGCTTTGAGAAAAACAGAGCAGATTTCGGCTAAGCTTCCTATGCAATTTCCTTCGATTTTTCTTTCACTTTTCCAACAAACCTCATCTTGTTTATCACATAACTAACACAAACAACACTCATCATCATCATATCAGTCTTATACCATCAAGGTGGAATTTCATAGAGCCCACTCCAACCATTTAAATCCGAACAACAATAATAACAATGAAGCTACAAGCTTCCTAGCAAAGATCAACTCACTAATACCAATATTAGATGGTTGGATGATTACCTACTACTCATTTGAGTGAAATCAGAAATTTTGCACCTCCAAGACCCAAGAAAAACCATGAGAAAGATGTCCTTCACCAAGATTGAGTTGCTCTCCAAGTTGTTTAGGTGTTGTGTGAAGGATTTTGAAGTGAAAATGTTGCAAAAATGGAAGTGAAATGGGATGAACTTTGCTCTTCTTCCTTTGGGAGTGTTTCGGCCAAGTTATGAGAGGGAGGAGAGAGAGTGTAGCTGGTGATTGAAGCTTCTTGGAGAAGCTTGAGGGTTTTGTGGTTAAAATTTGAGCAAAAGTCAACTTTGAATAGTAATCACCCGCGCGCGTTTCGTGTCCGTTTTCTCTCAGATTTGTTTCACTTGTGCACTAAATTTCTAATGTACTTCCTTTAACATTATAATTATTCACTCTTAGTAGTCTAAATAAATTTCGTAAATCTCAAATTAACCGCTCCGACTCGATATACGCGAATTTCCAATTCGCGCGCGATAAAGCGAAATCTAAAAGAAATTCTTGTAACGATAATATAAGTAACTAATACTAGGGTAAATAATCATGAAAATAACTATTTTAAGACTAACACGTGAGTTCTCAAATCTCCAAGGTCACTGCACTCTCAGATCAAATACTGTTTCAAAAAACATGTATCTGCTATTTTTTACTAAACGAGTTTGCGAAAATTAAATTTGCTAACGGGACGGACGTTTTAAAAACATAAGGGAGACATTGTTCCATACAAAGGGACTTAAAATGGTTCAAATAAATTATTCGGAGAAAACAGATTAATAAATAATTAAATAAGCCAGTAAAATAAGATAAAAATAAGAAAATTTTCGAGTCCTCATAGAAAAAAGAATTTAAAAATTCAAAAAGCATCTACACAAGTTTTCTATCGCTTATCTTTCTTTATTTAATTTGTAAATAGATTAGTTTAGTAATTTTCATTTTCTTTGTAGCTTTCATAAGATTTTCATGCATTAATAATATGTTATTTGATAATTTTATACCACATTCATACCTTGCTTTATATTTTGTTTGCATTCTACATAAAAAAAAAACTTAAAATTCTCTAAATATATTTTTTAATACATTTCTATTTTTTATCATGTTTTTATCTAATATAAAACACATTAAAAAGTGCTATAATAAAAAAATAAGCTAATAATTTTTATTCTAAATGCACTATTTAATATTATTTTATTTAGGACAATTTATCCAATTGACCCTTGAACTTTTTGGTTAGGTAAAAATAAACCCCTCATCTATTTTTTGCTGACTTTAAGCCCTCGAACTTGTAAAATCGGGCACATGTGACCCTTTCAGCCAGTTCATCCGGTTTTGCAACCGGAAAACCAATTCACACGAATGCCAGTGTGTTTCTTCAAAGGGCATTTTTGTCCGCATCTTCTAAGTAGAGTCCAGAGAAAAAAACGGGTTGTAGCAATGGAATTTCGGGCTTAATGTTTATGTCACTGGGTAAAATGATTTGGATTCAGCATCAAAGATTTCAATTTGGCGATAGCTTTTCTCTCTCCGACGGGTGGCCACGGCAAGTTTCTTGGCGCTATGCATGGCTGCAGGCGTGAAGCAGTGGACACCAGCTGGGGTGACCCAGACAAGTAAATACGGAGTTTCGGAGAGGTCAGAATTTTGGGGCAGATCGACCCGGTAAATGCTCCACCATCCATCGTTTGATTGGCGGTGGAAATAGATGGTAGAGTCACCCGACCAGGTTGGCCAGCCACCGTGCTGGCAGACCGTAACTTGGGTGTTCTGGTTGAATTTCGAAAAAACAACAATATCCGTTTGTAGCTCGTGAAATTCACCGCCCCAATCATGAGACCCATATGAAGCCACAGCGATAAACTTCCCGCTTTGAGAAACGAACGGGCTATAATCAGCCACACTAGGCGATGTCAACCGCCGTACTTTCTTATCATCCAGCTGGGTCGAGTACAAAGCCAACCAGCTCTTAAACAGCTTATCGGGCTCTTCATGAGCTGAAATGAAGTAGGCCCGTTGATTCTTGATAACAAGACTATCATGGAACAGGCTTTCGGGTGGAGACGGAAGGAGCTCGGGTTTGGAAAGGTAGATCCTAGGAGAACCGGACCTTTCGGAGACGAAAACGACGGTCTCCTCATTGTCCAAGAACTGGCCACTAAAGTTAATAGAGATGCCATCAGTGAGGCGGCGTTGGGTGAGGTTTGGAAGCTTGACGGAGAAGATATCGAAGCCGTACTAGGTTATTCCGATGGTGGAGATGACACTCCTTCTAACCTAACCCAATCGCAACTTGTTTCTTAAGGAGGAGTTGTCTTCTTTTTGCTTAGAAGATGTAGACAAAAATGCCCTTTGAAGAAGCATACTGAAATTCGTGTGAATTGGCCTTCCGGTTGCAAAACCGGATAAACTGGCTAAAAGATTCACGGGTGCTCAATTGTACAAGTTCGAGGGCTTAAAGTCAGCAAAAAATAGATGAGAGGCTTATTTTTACCTAGCCAAAAGTTCAAGGGCCAATTGGATAATTTGCCATTTTATTTATAATAAGAATTGCTATGGAATTGAGATAAACACATTGAGTTACTTAGAATTCTTTTTTGTGAATTATCTAATTAATTTTAGTGCTAAAACATCAAAATGCTTAGTGTAATTGTGTTTAAATACATTTGTTAACTATTAAAGAAATATATATTTATTATGTCATAATTATTATGTGTGTTTAAGAATTAGTTAGGGATATTTTGGTTATAAAAAATATAACTTCATCTTAATCCCATCAAAAAGTTGATCACAAGGGGTCAAGTGCATATATTTGTAGTTTAGGGGCGAAGTGTTATAAGGGTCCAAGTTCAGGGGGCAAAGTGTAATTAACCCTAGAATAAGAACATGATTCCTCTTCCAAAATCCCAGAACTCTGAACACCCCTATACCGCCCTTGTCTCTTCCAAGCGGCCATGATCTTTTTAGGGAGGCTTCAGCGATCAAGATAGCTAGCCGAGCCGAGATCCAAGAATGTGGAAGTCTATTTTAGGCGGAGACGAAGAGCAGCAGCAGCAGGAAGACAACTTGTTGGATGAACCCGAAGGCCTATTTTCACTTTCCCCCACGCAGGTCCGATCACCTGCCTTGTTATTTAGCTCCAAATTTAGCACTGCTTATTCTTACTGGAAATCCGTGTTGATTTTCTTTTTCTTGTTGGGTTTTGGACGAACAGAGGGTCTACGCATTTGCTGGCTGTTTACTAGCTGGCTTGGTTTGCATGTTCCTGGTATATACCGTACCTTCAACTTTAAATGTTTTCAAGCCCCGGAGCCGGGTGCTATAATAAGCTACGCAGTTTTCTTTAGTTGTCTGACAGAGTGCACTGAATAGAGTTAATTGCCATTTTAGTCCCGAAATTCTCTCTTAAAGTTAGAAAATGGCGCAAAACTAGTAGCACTTGAACTCATCGTTTAGCTAGATAGTATTGGACTTAAATTTGTGCAATGCCATCTTTTATTTGTTCATTTGTGCATTTGAAGAGCCTGAATTCCCTAGAGATAAAAGGCTGCTCACGATTGGCTAAAGGACTATCATAGTTTCCAGTCATAGTAATGGTCTCATTCTTAGACTTTGCCAAGTACGTTGAGATTTTCATTCATACTTGGGAAGAGGCTCTAATTAGGTGCATAGGATAATCCGATGATTTAATTGCTCTATTCCTACATTACTTTTTGTTAACATTTTGTAAACCTACAAGTATGATATGTGTACTAAAATCACATTCGGAAAGCATATCTGCATATATAAAAATGTGCGGGAGAAGAGGAGTTTAATAATCACAAATACATAAAGTACATCGACTCTCATATTGAGAGCAGCATAACTCTCGGCAGAATTGCCCTTACAAAATTTTCCTCTCGCTCTTCTCAACTAAAAATCATAACTAGATACCCTAATAAAAAGATTTGGTAATTAGGGAACTAACAAGAGAAGAAACTACTGAATAATCATTCTATACCTTAACCAAATAAACTACTAAAGTTTCAATAGACTTGAACTTCTAATTTAGAAATAAGAAACATCAACTATTAGGAAGTTTGGTTTAATTATACCAACAATATGAAATTTTCACTGATTTCTATTGTCTCATTCTTCTTTGCAGTCTTTGATTGTCTTTGTCAAGCCCATCAAGTTCGCTTTGCTATTTACATTTGGCAACATGTTAGCTGTTGGAAGGTAGGTTACTGCTTTCCTTGAATAAACCAGTAGGTATTAATTTGTCTAACAATGTGTGCTCAGAAAAGAAGTTGTCGCGATGCAATGCACTTTTACCCAAAAATGCACCAGGATTGTTCACATATGTAATACATATACATGTAAAACGAACTCTACATGTTTCTTCTTGTCATTCTTTGCGGAGATTCTTAATTGGGACATATATTGGCAGCACAGCCTTCCTCATTGGACCTGGGCAGCAAATAAGGATGATGCTTGATCCTGTACGCGTTTATGCTACAGCCATTTATATTGGGTGTGTTGTTGTAGCTCTAATCTGTGCTCTTCTGGTAAGCTGGATGCTTTGACTGACGCATATCACGACTTTGATGATTTTCTGAAAGAAAAGCTGCATAAAATCATCATGTGTGCACTCATAGTTTTGCAAAATTCTTATTGTTGGTTTGGAATCATTGTTAACGCAGGCAATGCAATCACTGTACTACATTTTCATTGCATACAAAAAGTAAAAAAACTACATGTTATGGTCCTTCGCTATTTTATTATCTTTAATTGCCACAAAGAGTATGGGATTTTAGTGATTTATCTTTCTCATTGAGCTTAAGAGCTGTTGTCCTTTCAGCATTATATTTGGACATTAACTTGAGTTGGTAACTGGGATTTTGACTTACTTTTACTAAGATGGTCTAACTTACTACACAACAGGAAGAAGAAATAGACGGATGCAATCTGCTTCACTTTTCCTTCTTTTCTTCTTCATAATAGCTTTTTTTTTTTTTTTATTTTTGTGATACCTTGCAGATCCACAGTAAGATTTTAACGATAATAGCAATCATATGTGAGATTTGTGCCCTTGTCTGGTGAGTTTGTTTCACATCATTCATCTTACAATAGTTTTGTATCTGTTCTATTTTCCATCAGAATATCCTAGTGCATTTTTCCTATAAAGAGAAGTAGAACGGTTCTGAAAAATAAAGCTTTCTCATGAGTAAAAACTTGAAAGTAAGAGAATTTTGCGGGCCTGTAAAATTTGCAGTGTAATATATTGCTTTCATGGGACAGGTAATAATTCACAGTGCACAGACTGTAAAATGTAAGTACCTAACTGAATGATGGTCATTGTAGTTGCACGTCTATATTCATTTTACTTTTCGTTTAATACTCAATTCAGCATGCTAGATTACGTTTGTCGCCAAAAAGTATTGGAACAAACTTTTGACATTTAAAGAAGATTCTCGACAATTATGCATTTTGTGGATCTTGAAGAAACAACAGGGCTTGGACTTGTTGCAGTTTGATAGGCCATAATCCATTGAACATTAGAGGTTAAGACTACAAAAAGTCACATTAGAAATGAAGATTTTCTGGACTCTAATAGTCCACTACTATTTTTGCATGTCATCTTACTATAATTTAAGACGACTAAGTACACACTTTTGATGACAAGAAAGATGAAAGCCTTGAAGAGCATGTGATGTATGGTGGCTAATGCTTTGTTGTGTGCAAATAACATTTTGAAAACTAAGAACTACTAAGGACAGGAGGAGTTCAAAATTGATCTCTTACTTTTTTATCTGCGGGTTTTCCAGGGGGGCAGTGCGACATTTTAATTGATAACCCAGTCCTAATTCCACTTTTTTTTTGGCTGGTGAATGCAAAGAGTTGGACCTCTAGAACATAATTTTATGATAGAAACACAAAACTTGCGCTTCAAGAGTGACTAAAACTCTGCTTGGAATATGATATTATTTTTCTGTCAACTCTAAAGACCATCAATATTTCCAGATGGACAACTGCTCCCATGAAGTGTCTTAGTCTTTGTTTCTGGTTTCTGGTTGGGTTGGGGAAGATAACCATTGCCTGGGGATTTGGATTGTTGTAGGTTGGGCTTTGGAAGTGTGGGGAGATTTGAATTCACAAACTAAACATAATTTTGTGTCAAATAGGAGATACACTAGAGGTAGCCTTGAGTATGGCCCATGGTAACCCAATATTTTGAGCACTGATGCAATTGGCCCAATTTCACTTGATTAGAGAGAGCTATCTTGTCAGTGGGCTGATGTAGCAGAAAATGTTAACGGTTGTTTTGAGGGATCCTGGAGTCTAAATACTTTTCTCAGGTGTCCCATTGCGAACCATGCTATGTGCGGTGTGAATTATTTGGCTTACTGGTACTATATATTTGCCTGTTTTAGTGACTCTAAATTATTTCAAGACGGCCTTTGAGATCACCTTTGTTTGCCATTTCAGGTATAGTTTAAGCTATATTCCTTTTGCTCGAAGGATGGTTTCCTCGGTGACGATCCGTCTATTTGACACTGAAATCTAAGCAGTTCAACATACAAATGTGTGTTTGTGCAGCCATTGGCCAACGAAATTCTCTACAGAGTTGATTTACTCCAATTCTTTCTAATGAGAGTCGATTCTTTTTTTGGATTGCTGTGAAAAAGTGTTACCAACTTGGCTTTGATTTTTGGGCTGTTAAACTTTATGATGACTGAAATGCTACAATCTACAAGCGATTCAGTCTCATCAAAGGGCAGTTACTATTGATTCAACTGTCCTTTTGTGTTGCTGTTCACTCTGGTTTTAATTTCTCTGAAATACCATTTAAGTTGTTGTCTTCCTATATCAAATAATTATATCCTTGTCTTTCAAAATGCCTTTCATGACTGGTGCAGATGCTGCATAATTTCGTGTTGGACTACTTTTTCTTCCCTGGCTACCTACCTACCATTTAAGCCTTTTTCCCAACAACCAAAATGGTGGGAGTGGCTAGTAAGCTTTGCCATTATTCTACCTAATCAGTCAGCATCCTCACCTCAAATGCCCGACGATGTCCTAATAAAACGAGGTATCTTGACATGCTCTGAGATTCGGGTCTTCTGTTTTGCCTTGTTTTCCTGCTTTTTGGCAAAGTGCTGCTATTTTTACTTGATTACAGATTTAAAAAAAAAAAGAAAAAAGGGTAGCAAGTTAACTTATCATAGAACAATTCGTTGACTGTGTTGTTGTCAAGTTCGAGTTCAGACGTATCTTTTGTAGCTTCTACCATATTCAAGCAGAGGCCGAAACTGAATTACTTCTTAATCCAATTGGATCCTCCAGGCTAAAGTAGGCTAAAGTAGGAGTAGTATAAGAGTTGATAATATATAGAGAGAGAGAGAGAGAGAGAGACTTGTTCGGTCCTTAAACTTCACTAAATTTTGATGGGTCATCTCATCGACCACGGTCATGTGCGACATGACTATTTAGCAGCTTAACGAAAAGATATGGGCCTCTAGCTGTGGACCCCAAGACAATATAGGTAAAAGGGTTGGTGTGGGCTTGTGGCTTTACCAACTCCCGAAGGGATGAAGGAACCAATTCAATACGAATGAAAAGGAGAAAAGTCTTTGTACATCTGCATTTATACAAGTTTGGTTTTGGTGGGGTTTTCTCTATGCCCCATGGCCCATGGGGTAGTACTTAATACTAAAAGTTGTTTGTCAGTATTATTAAATTTAGATAAGCGTGTATCTATTGAAGACATTAATGAAGCTCAGCAATGATCAAATTCTTGCACGCACTTATTGTGTCATCATTTGCTAGCAAGTAGGTGAAGAGCCTGGGTTGACTTAAGTCATTGATTCTCTCTCCAAAACTTGGTAGACCCGATCTTAAAAAAATCCAATAGTGTTTGAATCCTTCAATTTTTCAAAAAATAGTTTTTTTAAATATTATAAAAATTTTTAAAAAAAATACTCTAACAGGTATTTTAAAAAGTAATCTAAATTTTTTTTAATATTTAAAAAATATATTTTAAAATTCTACTACTCTTAAATATTTCAAAATATTTTCTAAAAAATATCTCAAAATATACTCTAAAAACTCTGTTACAATAAAATTTTTCAAAAACAGCTAATCCAAACGGAGCCATTATGATCCGAATTCTGCCACCTTATTCAAAAGATTCAATAGTGTGGCATAATTCGGATCATTGAATCTTTAAAAATTCAACGAATCCCTCTATTCTCTTGGGCACTATTTCAAGGTTGAACACCCTTTGATACCCATGCAAACATATCCTGACTTCTTTCGCGACGACGGGTTTGGGACACAAATGGTTGTCAGGTCAACCATTGTATCGATTTTTGGCCAAACTTAGTTGGGTGGGTGGGTTGGTGTCTACGTGTGAATCAATAAATATTTTAGTAATTGAAAACAATAGTAGTGTTTACGGTAAAGGAGGTTGGATGACGTTAGTACCAATCAATCAGATTAGAGGAAGTGTCAATAAAAGCAAATAAGAAACCATGAAGATTTGTGCAGCCGCTGTGGAATTTTCAAGTATATAGTAAAATTTACATGCAAAGTGCAAACACATACGAGTAGCAACTACGTAGTACTACCTGCACCGCTGTGAGAGAGAGAGAGAGGGATTTGGGAATCAGCAGGGTAAATTCCGACCCTTTTTTCTCCGTCCAGCAGATAGTCACCCCTTGGAATCAAGGAGGAGTCGTAGAGGAGAGACTCAAGGACCCCTCCAATCATGCAACAGCCGCTCATCTGACCTCAATGATTCACTGCATCGGACCTCCAATTTAATACCCTCTCATTTTGTCGATCTTCGTCCTCTAATTAAATCTTATATTGCACTGTAAAGCGTAGCCAACAGGTTGAACGCCTAAACAGCCGCCGCCCTTGGATTCCAGGCTCCACACACAGCGTGACGTTAATTTACTCAACTTGCATCCTTGTTGCATGTGGTGGCGTCTATAATTTCAATTACATCACGGCCTTGTTCTGATCTGACCCATTTATGATGATCAATGATTTTTTTTTTCCTCATTTTGCTTTTTGGTTTTGATTTTCTTGCCGGATGAGTTCTTGAAAATTGTTCCAAAGTTTGAACGGATTATTTTTGTGATCGGGCATTTCGTTGATTCGTTCGTTCTGTCAACTAAACAATAGAGTGCAAAATAACTAAAGCTTGTTCATATGATTTCCTCGCGGCAACCTGAACGGGTGACGGCTCCTGGTGATTTATAAGGTTCCTCCGTTAATCACCTTTTTTTCCCCTTTAATTTAACAAAGAAACAATAATCTGTTGCCTTCAATTAGGATGCACAACCCAAAGAATTTGGCAATGTTTGCAACCAGCCAACAAAATTGCTCCATTTTCCCCAAATATCCTTCTCAGAACTAATATTCTATTTTAGAGTGACGTTAAAAATGACGCCCTACTTAAAAATGAGAATGATCTTTTAAATCCCTCATTTGTGCATTACAAACTCACGCATTAGTTTTTAACAAACCAACCACCACTGGGGCTGTTGGCTAGGGATATGGTATTCTGTCTGACAGACTAGGGTTCGAACCTTATTGTTAGGTTGGGGGGTAGGGAGAGATTAGGGGAGGGAGGGAAGGATTAAAAAAACAAAAAAGTTCAATAAATCTTAGTGTCACTTTTTTTTCATAAAGGCGATGGTCTTTATTAACAATTTTTCACAATTTATAAAACTCGTTACGAAGATATTTGCATTTGGACTGAAGGATTTAACAAGATTTGAAATCCGTTAAATTTTCTTAAGTTGTTTGAATAACTTGTAATATACCAATTATTTTAGTGTTTAAATACATCTAAATAATTGATGGATTGCAAACCCAATTACCTTTCAAACAATCTAGAGTATTTGGGAAGATTTCAAATTTTTTGTCAAATCCCTCAATCTAAACATGATGTCTAAACAAAAAAAATTAAATACTCTAACGTTAGGTATGACTAGAGGTCCAAGATTCATATCTCCTTTTCCTACTCCTTGTTTGCTAAATCTCACTCCTTTCTTATTAGAAAAAAAAAATATTAGGAAAAAAGTATGACATGAAATACCTAAATCCCCCTTCTTTTTTTTCGATTTTGCACCTTTTTTCCTAAAGGTTTGGTAAAGGGTTAGACAGCCTCATTACATAATAGTTAACTAGTCTGGGTCTGGCAACACTTCGACTTTGCACTTAACCGGGGCACAGCAGAACGCTACCCGTCAAACGGAACAATTTCTCGAGGCGCTTCTGTTCTTGAAGTGCCCCTTCCCCTTGCATCAAAACAACGTTTTGTTTAGTACATCCATGATCCAACAACGCTTTCTCCGCTCTCAAGAGACTCCGTAACAGATTCTTGTCGAGGGCAAAATACTTCCAATCAACACGATTTTGTGAGTCCCCTATCTCCGGCTTCGTCATCTAGCTTCGTAATAAACAATACGACAGTATAAATTCCGTACTACTTGCCGGTTGCCATATTCAATTCGATTTTTTTTCAAGCCATTAAATCATTAATCATATACCGCAGTACTCTATTCAATTCAATGACTTTCTTAACGTTTTGCAGCTGCCTGTCATACTCAACTCTAATAAACAAAAGCGCCCAACCGATTCTACCAGCCAACCATTGAATACTTTATTTTTCACTTTTTTGCTAGGCTAGTAGTAATATATTTTTTTTTTTGTCTTACTGTCCGTCCTTCAGGCTTCAACATCAATTGACAAATTAAACTAATTTCAAAAACTGGCAAAATGCGCAGCCAAGAGAACCTGGGACAATACGATCGTTATTGGACAATGTAGTACGATTTGAATAAATTATAGCTCACGATCGATTACTTTACATAATTTCACAATAATTATGTGACGCTCAGTCATTATTCAAGTAAACTCCATATATAATAATTGCGTCCCCTGTTATCATATTTTACAAAGTACTAATTAATACTCCCTCCCTTTTTTTTTATAACTGACAGTTTAAGGTTTTGCACACCAATTAAGAAAAGTTTTTCATTGCTTAAATCTGTACACTACTTTCCTTTTGTACCCTCATTAATTGTCCAATTCACCCATATTTTCTCTCACTAGAGTACTAAATGGTGTTGTTTTACTATGCCAAAAGCAATGCAATAATTACTAGGAGTAGTAATTAAGAACCCTGTATTGGAAAAGAGAGATAAAAGGGTAAAATTGTGAAAAATAATTAATATTGTATGGGGATAATAAAACGATAGATAAGAGTACACTAGAGCAAATTTTTTAAACGTCAGTTATAAAAAAAGGGAGGGAGTAGTAAATTATAACCTAATAATAACATGTTTCGTCCCATGGAAACCACTAAATAATTGTGCTTACAATTATTCATGTCCCTTTTCCCCCCGATCAAAGAAGCTTCAGATAATTACTGCTACTACTTTTCTTTTTTATTTATTTGACAATTAAAGATTGAAGAGAGCCTACTTTAGTTTCTCTTTCCTTGTGGTTTATGTAATGCTGCACTTGACTTTATTATTATTATTATTTTTTTTGTCGACACAGGGGTGTTCGGGTCAATCCTTACGGGACCTGATTAATCCCCTGCGGTCCGGGAGAGGAGGCCCCACTCCACACCGAATACGTTAACAGCGGAACTTGAACCCTGAACAAGCCAGGAAGATCGTCATACCCTAAGGAGGGGGAGCGGACCGCTCGAGCTATCCCGTGGAGGCAAAGACCAGCCACGTAAGGTGGCAAGTTGTGGGAGACAGGGGTTGAACCCCTGACCTCCAGCATTCCAAAGAAAGGAATGACCACTGGACCAAATGGCCAGCGGCCAGCACTTGACTTTATTAGCGAATCAACAATGCCATGGAACGGATTCCCTTGTAGGAGCCATTACCAAAGCTTGGGTTCGGGATGAAGTTCTTGTCAGGTTCGGATATTACCATAATTCACGAGTTTTAATATTTTACGTGTTTTGCGGTTGCGGGCGGGTTAGGTGTGTACCTGTCCGTAAGGCCTAAAATGAGAACTTCTGTGGTTGGTTTGGTGGGTATCTCGCCCAATTTTTTGAAAATGATGTGTTTCCTTCCATAACTAAATATTGGTTTCCCCTCATTAATTACTTACCACAACTTAGGCTTATTCCCGTTAATGGGGCCTTCTGGTGTTGCTTCAAGCAAGGTGAGATTATCATTGTTCAAATTCATGCTCCACAATCCCGGGTAATTATGTAGTATTTCTTCTTTCGAGTTTGGCTGGAGATATTAGTTATGTATTTCTCGTTGTGCACGAGATATTGAGGGTGAATTGTCAGAAAATTGAACCCTGTCCATTAAGGGAGTACAAGTAATGTAGATTCGATGTCGAAGATTCTAATTCTGTGCAAAGACTCTCCATAATTAAATAAATCTACTGACACCTATTTAAACTCTCTGTTTCATCGAATCGAGTAGACGACTGACTATTGAAAGTAGGGCTGAACTGAACAGTCAACAACACATTGCAAGCCCAATAGGTGCATCTAAATAATTGATATTGCAAGGTTTACAGATTATGATTTCAATCCTTTTTTTTTTTTTCAAGAATACCAGTTGAGTTGGGTGGGATTTCCTTGTCGTTCTTGTGCATGCCGTTGTTTTTTAAGAAAAAGTTTGAATGACTTCGATTTCGATTATCATTATAGGTCAAGGGCATATTTTCGAAATCATAAATCACTGACGAAAATTTTTACCGATCACTTATTAAATATATTTCTTATATTAAGAACGGGATTCGAATAAACAATCTTTCCTGAACGAGTGACCCTTCCTTTCCAAGATTAAGGAGCATGTGGACCAAGATTGTGGCATTTCCATCCTTGACTAGTTCATCCCGTCTCCCTTGATACGTGAAGACTACTTTTGCTAAAGCTGAATCCAACCACAACAGAAAAACGACAAAACGAAAGAGGTGAGCGCACCTTATGATATCTCACACCCTAAGCACAGCTGTTAGTCTCCTTGTTGTATAACTGGAGATCCTATCCACGATTCGTCCATTGCTATTTTCCGCAAACGAAATTCGGAAGAATCATTATTGTATTGTAGTAGACTTCAATATGAGCAGTAAATGGTGCCTCGACGTGAGGAGATCCCCAGCCCCCTCACTTTGGGCAGAAAGAGACACAAGGTTCCATTCGTTAGAATCATGTTCCGCTAACATTTTACTACTAATTACTCCATAAAGCTATTTTTCTTGAACCGCACAAAGTTGCTTTAGTAAAAGTCCCATTACATTTGTGGCTTCTTTTAAGACTCAAAAAAGATGCTGCTCGTGTAGTGTGACTCGTGTCCCTCATAATTTCGTCCAATATGAGGAATACAATTCATCCATCATGATCCCCTTGGAGCATCAAATCAACCAATGACTCTCCTCCAGCTGCACATTGTTCAAGCGATCGAAGAAATGCAATACTCTGAAAACCAGAACGGCCTTTCTCCGTGAGTACATCCTTGTACAACTATATGCAATAGCAAACAATGAAAATAAAATTTCAAATTAGTACATATATTTTTTATTTTTAAATTTTTTTTGGGCAGGAAAGTGACGAGATTTAACAAGCAAAAAGGGTGAAAAGGAGAAGAGAGATCAGAATTCAAAAACTCTAAATCTTAACCCAAATATTTAACCTTGCGTTCATCTTTTTAAACTATCACTAAATAGAAAAGTGACTTCAGGGATTTGATTTCGTTATTTTACCGGGCAAAGATGTGCATTTAGTAGAGTCTACTTTTTTTGGCCATATCTATCTACTAATAGAGAAAAGGCAAAAACACACAGGGAAAAAGAAAAAGAAAAAGAAGGGGTAAATCTTAAAAAATGGGTCCTTTTTGCCAATTAAAAAAACAATGTCCTCTTTCTAAATCCCATCTGAGGAAACTGTAAATTAAAAGGAGTATTTTTCACCTTTTTCTATGTAAAGGTCGTTGTCCGTAGCGGGGTAGATGAAAGTATGAAACCACTTACCAGAAAACGACTTGGAAGTCGTTTCGTGTTTTTGGACGAAAGTTTTATTGGAGTTTGGACTGAAGTCGTCCACATTGCTCCACTGAAACGGTGTAGGATCCTGAGTCCTCCTGACAACGTTGGCAGTTTCGAAGTGCCAATCTTTTTAATTAAATCCGGAACACGATAGGGTGGGGTAAAAATGGCTAATGCCAATTTATTTGACAACATGGCCCCTCAGAATTGTCTTAGATGGTCTCTCTTGTGCTGCTAGTTAAAGACTTATACGTGGTACTGCTTCCTGGACAAAACCTTCACATCTATCTCTGCATTAGTTTACTAAAATTCGGTTGTGTACAATGTTTTTTTTTATATGTATATCAATAAAATTTTTTGTTTTTGATTCCTTGAGATAATTGAAATTACTTTGGAAAAATCAGTATTGTTAGACCGCGAGAAGGAAATTGCGAGAATCTTATGCTACTTGGACATGAGATTAATTTAATAGCAAGAGCAGGGGGGAAAAAAGAAAAAAAAAAACGTGGGGAGTCACAGGTATGAAGACTATAATTTCAATTATTTGTTAGCATAAGAGTCAAAAATTATATTCATAGAAGTAAATAATTTTCCGATTGAACTTTTAGATAATTCATTTCATTTCTATGCGTATTCCAGTTCAGCAGAGAAGGACGTGATAGAGGTGCATGGTTAATTTTCTCGACGGGCTAATTTCAGAAACCTTCCTTGAGATTTCTAATAATTTCATTTAGCTCCCCTTAGTTTCACATAATTACAACGACCTCCCTTGATGCAACAAAATTACTAGAATGTCCTTCACTTAATTGGTTGATTCATAAAGAAATATATCATACCACTACAACCAGCAAAACATTCTCAGTTGCCATATCATCTGCAGTCGCCTCCTTTCACCTTTCTCTCTAACTCCTCTCTTTCGTCTCATATTATGTATCACTATATTCATAACAACCACCTAAACCTCCATGCTCACCACCATTCCTTCTCATTTCCAATGTCTATTCCAAATTCTGGTATCTATTTTCTTCTTATTTTATTACTTGATTCATTTTTTTCGTCACATTCTATTGCAAATGCTAATTCAATAGAAAGCAAAGAATAGGGAAAAGAATTTCTACATTATCAAATTAAATAAGGAGAGGATGGCAAATATAAAGAATTAATTTGAAACTGATACCTGAAAGTAAGAGGGACCGGATGATTGACATATTGTTGTGTCTATTTATTCAAAAAATTTTATTAGATATCCATAAAAAAATTTAATAGATGTCCATAACTGCATTTGTTGCCAAAAAAATCAAAAACAAAAATGAAAAATGCATTTTTCTATTTTTTATTTGCAACTGTGAATAGTGATTTTTTTTTATGGAGATAGGATTAGTCTCTGATGGAGATTATGGAGTAATAATGGGTTATTCTTTGGGTCATGGTGGCATTGCTTCTAGTGTCCATATAGGTGGCGATGAGCTAGATTAGCTATTGCTAGTGGGTTGAGAAAGTTGTAGGCAAGCTTTTACATTTTTTTAGTGGGGTTATATTTGATCTTGTAGTTTTTAGTGAAAGCCTCTGGGGAGCAAAATGATTCTAAGGCCGCGACTATTGTTAAAATCTAGGGATGGCAACGGGGCGGGGTTGGGGCGGGGGACCCCTCCCCCATCCCCCGCCCCGTTGCCTATTAGTTCCCCCCGTCCCCCGCCCCGTCCCCCGCCTCCTGCTCCCCCCGCTCCGCCCCCGCCCCACTTCCCCCGCGGGTGCCCCCGCGGGGTTAATAAAATTTTATTATATAATTTTATTATAATTAAATTTTAATAAATAATCAAGTACTAAAATATCAACACATCACCAAATTATTATTCATTGTAATTTTGCAATTGAAACTCATAAAAACAATCAAACAGAAGTTGTTTGAATACAATCCAATATGATGAAATAAATATAACTAAAATAGTCAAGTTTTCACTTTTAGTACAAATGCAATCACTAATTCATTATTGTGTTTGTGGTTTTTTTTGAGAAAAAAGTGTTATTCTATTAAGTGTAATTAGAAATTTAGTATAAATATATTAGTAAATTTAGTATAACTAATTAATAAATTCTATTAGTAGACATGTAGAATTATTCATATAATTGATAATATCAATTATATTACATAAACTAATATACATTATATAATACATCTAACTAATAATATCATTATCATAAGTTTATAACTAATTAACTTACATGTTATATATAATTATATATATACTTTTTTTTGTTTTGCGGGGGGCGGGGCGGGGGATGGGGCGGGGGTATACTCCCCCGCCCCCCGCCCCGTTTCTAAGCGGGGGGAAAAAATTCCCCCCCGCCCCCGCCCCACCCCCCGCCCCATCCCCCGCCCCGAGAGCCCCCCGCAGGGCGGTTGCCCGCGGGCACCCGCCCCCATTGCCATCCCTATTAAAATCACTTGAAATGGAGACTGAGTTATAAATAATAGTTTGCTCGTTTGACTTGGTATGGTGACAGGTTTGCAGTGGTTTTAGAAAAAGAAAATGTACATGATTAAACTAACTTTTTCTCTTTGTTGTTATGTCAATAAGGGTACATTAGGATTTTGGAATAGAAATGTAGTATATTGGGTCTATATAGTTACCTAAACAATAAAAGTAGAGGAGGTAGATGTAATTTTTAAAACTTAAGGGGAGGTGACTACAATTGTTATAAACCTTAGGGAAGGTTTGTGAAATTATCCCTTCCTCAATTATCTACCTAATTAAGAATGTGAAAACATCTCCATTGCAACGACCATTCAGCTCTCACTTTTTGTAGCTTCTCCAACTTTGCAAACAGACCATGGTCCACTTTTTTAATTTGTAAAAGAAATTTCAAGGTGGACCGCCGATGCTGGCCAGTTGCCACGGCGGCCGATTTCTTATTCTTTTTTGCTTATCTTGTGAACCGGTCCCCATTGTGGAAAAGGGAATGGTGAATTATTTTGGCGAAGAAATAAGAACCGCCGAGTCAAAATGTCTTGACACGACTTGCAGCGAGGGAAGTTGCCTAGTCTATTGCCGGAAAGTGTAGAAGTGAACTCTGCGGGATAAGGGGCAGGACAATCATCAGAAAGATCGTTTCTGCACAATTCATGACTAGGATTTGGTCACAAAAGAATGTATGGTTCATATCACATCTTGTATTTCGATTTTCACAATGTCTGTGGAGCCTACAAAATTTTGTTCTAAAATTACACTTTATACAAACAAAGTTATGCGGTGTGCAAAATGCACAAAACCTGCCCGTGGTCCGAACTTTGAGCTTTTTGTGAAGGGTCTATCTTTTTTGTGGAGGCCAATTGTGAATTTATCAGTCTCGGCCCCATCTTAGGTTAGGGCTATGGTAGTGCTTGGAGGGGGGCCTCCCCAGAATTCGATCCCTGATCCCTTGGATAAGGGGTATTGGGGATGGCTCCTGGTACCACTTGAGCTACAATACACAACACGTGGAGATGAGTTAAATTTGAGGTTTTGTATTAAATGTGAATTTAAATTATCAATTTAAATTAAACATAAAAGTTTATACTGAATTTGATTTTAAAATATCAAAAAAATGAAGAATTTTTATGGAATGTGACTATTAGGAAATTGCCTTCAACTAAAAATAAGTTTTTTCTACTATATGTGACTTAAAAAATCAAATTAAGTTCCAACCATGATAGTTTCACTCAAATACATAATAGTAGTAAATATCTCCGATAGAGAGATATCACAACCAATTTTTAAACGTGGAGATTAGGAAGATGTACGGTGAGGAGTATTATTTAAAATATAATTTGAAATAATTATTTGAGCATTTTTGTAATATAATGTATGTAAAATAAAAAAATAATTAAAAAAATAAAAGATAAATTAAAAAATGTGTTTACGATACAAGTGAAATTTTATTTAAAAAAATTTAATATCCTAACACTACGTATAAATTAAATACAGAGACCGATCCCAATTGAGCATTTTGCAGCGGACAAAATTCTGTGGAAGCAAAATGACAAATTTGTACAACAAGAAAATTAGATGAGATGAATGCTGTCGGAAGTCGAACCCTGTCAGGAGTTGCCCATAACACTCCTATAAAAATCATCTGGGGACGTGGTTGATTTAACACCGCCAGCGTCGATATGCCATTGGCAGAATTAGTGCGCACGTTTAGATTTTGTCGAACGGCAAGGCCCGCGGAGAGAACTTTATACGCACACGAGTATGGGAGTATTGAATTCGTACGTTTACGAGCACAAGACAACATCATGAAGAAATTATTAACAAAAGGATTTATGAAGGATCAACAATTGAAGGCAATACAAGATTGGAGAACGAATTCTTTTTTTGGTTAAAAAAAGATAAACATACTTTAAAAAAAAATGAGCAGAAACTACGAAAAAGGAAAAAAAAACAGAATGATAAACTCTACAAAGTCCTATTTTGTAATTGGCTAAAACATGGACCAGTTCCTTGTAATTGGCCTTCTAATTTGCCGCCGGGTTTTATTTTGTCAATTGCCACCAGCCCACAGATCAGCTCCGAGCGTTTTTTATTTTATTTTATTTTTGGTGCTGTTTTACTCGCCATACATTTTAACCGTACTATCCTAATTTTTTTTTTTTTTTGTCAACCTGCAAGAAATTTGACTCTTAACTTTACAAACCTAAATCCACAGTACACCTCAAAAGCCATGGTAACTAGTGAGGGTACTGAGGAGACTTATAAACCCAACACCCAAATCCCCCCCAATCGATGTGGGATAGAAACCCCACAGGGTGCCCTGCTGCTAAGACCTAAAGAGACCCCAAGCCCCCCGAGAATGAGTTTCTGTCTTTTTTTTGTCAAATTGCAAGAAACTTGACTCTTGACTTTACAAACCTAAACCCACAATACACCTCAAAAGCCATGGTAACTAGTGAGGGTACTGAGGAGACTCGTACTATCCTAATTACTAGTACTACTTTGTCGCAAATAGGTCTTGTGATGTTTCTTGACTGTCATCTTCAAATCATTTTCCATTGCATAACAATTACATGAAGGGACTATGGTTTCATCAAGATGGAAACGAATCGAAACGATAAAGAAGTTAGTGGTCCAAAGTCCACCCAGGCAGTTTTGAGTTTTCTTCAATCGATCGCTCCAACTAATGAGACGTCGATATTATCAAGTTGTCTAAGGTCCTTAAGGAAGCATTTTATTTCTCTTCGTGAACCACGGAGGAGGAGGGGCTTTACGGCTTTACCGTAAATGAGAAAAAAATAACATAGAAGATGGAGAAGCTGCATAGAAAGTGGAAAGCAAAATCCTGTGCTCATTTAATATAGCCCTGTGCATAGGCCATAACTAAAGGTGTATAGAACTGGATAAAAAAAACTTTACCTCTCACCAATTGCTATATTATGTGATTTTTTTTAAAAAAATTCAGATGGATGCATAATGCAACAGTCTGATTTGGTGATAGTTCAATTTTCGCCGTCCTTTCTAGATCTAGTTGGATCTCTCCTTAGATTAGAATAGTGTAGAATACTATAAATAAAGTGATGATTGATAAAAAAAAAAAACTAGACAAGAAAACAATTTTCGGGGAAAAAAAAACTGGATAAGAAAACAGTCAATCATCCGATGATCTATCTAAATCCGACGTTTGGACTTTTTTGCATGCGTGGCGCTTTTATGGCCAGGACTCCGAAGAGAATTACTCTGTACAGGCTACAGCTGGAGTTTCCACTTGGCTCGTTCTTTCGCGATCGCCACGAAACGCTGATAAAGAAGAGTCCTTGTCTGTGTCGGGTCTGATTGCTCTCGTAGGCTTGCAGCCACAGCCCACAGGTTCTATTTTCTTCCTCCCTTGTCCACAAGTTAAATCGTTAATTATCCCACTTTCTTCTCCAATGGCACGAAATTCAGACGACACATCATTGCTTTGTTGTAGAATGTTGTCAAGTTTCTAATTCATCGATTGACTAATTTGGCAATTCTTTAATTTTCTAGTTCGGCAGTTCTTCAACGGGACCATTGCCAAAGTATGCCCATTGAATTGAAAGTGGGGAAAAGTACGTCACAGACCATCAAATTATTTTAGATCTCACATAATCCACCCAATGAAATTTTGCCCTTGAAAATACGAAGACCGGCACATATATCACATACATACAGGGCTTGAGAAAGGAAAATATTAGTGCCATGTCAAATCCCACATGCCACCTAATACCAAATTGTATGCTGCAGTTATGTGCTATTAGTATGAATAATCCAATATATATAAATAATATATATGTATGTGTATATATCAGTAAATTCATAAGATAATATAGCATTCTATGTCATTATAATTAGTACCAAATTTTTCAAGAAAATGAGGAAAAGCAAGGGCAAATAAATGAAAATTTTGACGTGTAATTGTGGAAGCAAATGAAGTTATGAAATAAATAGAAGTGGTTGATAATACTTACTTCTTTGAATTCATAATATTGCATTTAATTTCTTGAATGTTAAGTTTATTATTTAAAAACAAAAATTAGATAGTATTTATATTACTTTTAAACTCTATATATTTTTAAAATAATTTTACTTAAATTCTTCGTTGTATGTTTAGAAAAATATCCATGAATGCCCGTTGAATATCCAAATCCACAAAGATCCGCGTATGAGTTTATCAATAAGAGTTCGAATTTGAATATGAATCTATTTAAATTTGATGAGTCTAGATCTGAGTCAAATAAATCCAATTTAAACTCTATCCATTCATATGCTTACTTCTGTTCATAGGATTGTTTATCTGAGTTTATCAATAGGAGTTCGAATTTAAACGTGAATCTATTTAAATTTGACGAGTCTAAAACTGAATCAAATCCATCAAACATAAACTCTATCCATTCACGTGCTTACTTCAGTCCATAGGTTTGTTTCTAATTATCTCCCTGACTTATTAGTATTAGTAAACGAACCCGTGCAGCTCCTTTTTCAACTGCCCTTTCAGTTCTAGACTTCTAGTGGATTTCGAATAAAGAACTGTTGGCAGTTACAGTTGGTCGCGTACATTGCAGTTTCGAATATAGTAAAACTGCTGGCAGTTGACATCACTTGTTTGTTTTTTTTTCCCCTCCGGGGAGGGCAGTTGACGACTTGATACCACTTAAGCCTGTTTTCCGCGTCTCCAAGTATTTTAATACTGCCATACCATTAAAAGAAGCTCCACTTAGTAAATACTGCCCACTGTATATTGCGTAATAACCCGCTAATTTCGTCACTCCAACCGTCACCATGTGCGTATCACCTCACGGTCAACTTCCCACCTAACCTCGGTTGATTATGTTCCGTCCCTAGAGATGAGATTTACAACAGACTATTTGTCCTTTTTTATTTACTTACGTTATCAATATTAATATATTTTTTAATTATTTTTTTATTTTATATACAAGTAATCAAAAAATGCTACAATATTTTTAAAAAAATCTAAAATAATCAACTATCAAAAGACCACCGCTCTTTTCCCCGTGTATTTGCAGAATCGAAATTTTTATACACTGTCCGTGTAAATTTTTGTTTTTAACACAAGCGGATTTAGATCAATGTCACTTCACTGTCATTCAAATTTTAAATTCATTTTTTGCTCATGTATCATATATCTATACATAATTATGTCAAAAAATTTCACATAGATAGTGCATGTAACATTAAGCTTTTAATTTGTATAGCACAATTAATATATGACTTTCAATCAATTGATATATATATAAATAATCTATTTTTGCTTCAAAAATTAATATATGCCTTTCAAATTTACAACTTAATAATATTTTATAAAATTTAAATTAATTGTCACTCATCTAACTTTAATAGTATATATATTGTCAATATATAGAAAATTAATTTTTATTTTATTATACGCTATAACATTATCACAAAAATGATATTCGCGCATTAACGTGAATTTGTATGAAAGAAAAGCAATTTGGAAAACTTGTATGACGTTGAATTTGTGAACCTTCTTTGCAAAGCGTACGGAATAAAATGGAGAAGGAAAATCTTATTGTAAGCAATATATAAAAGAGATACAAATTAATGATGGGTCGCCTGTTAATTTTTAAAAACTTATGTTTATCACTTAGTATTTGTGTTTATCATTTTGGCATATCTGTATTTGCACGTGAATCCGATTAAGAAACAGCGGATTTGACAATTTACCACCTGATAGTGAAAATAATTCCTCACAAAAGAAGTAGGTGATGGGTGGGGGGAGAGGGGGTGGTGTTTCTGGGAACGGGAAATAAACAGCCCAATCAAGTAAACTGTTACTCCTCCGTCCCGTTTTGTTAGTCTTAGTTTTTTTTTTACACAGATTAAGAAAGTATAATTAATTTGGTTGGAAACATAAATTTAGATTAATAATTTCCTAAACTACCCTTATGCTAAGATTGACTTTTCATTTATCTATGCATTGGAAAAGCTCAATGTATTCAATGTAGTGGGTTAGTATTTAATAACAATGTATTAATAACAAGATATTTAATAAGGGTATTTTAGACAATTTGAAAGATTACTACATTCCTTAATAGAAAAGTGGACTATAATTTGGGACAGACGAAAAAGGAAAACAAGACTATCAAAGTGGGACGGAGGGAGTAGGAATTTTTTTTATAAAAGTTACTATTCAGTACCACACTAATTTTTACCAGCCACCCAGAGCCGCGGAGGCTCGGAACCGAGCCTAACGGCGGCTAACCAGCCTAGGATGCATTATTCTATTTTGCCCTCTCAGACTCAACAAAGTTAAGATTAAATTTAGCGGTTGTCGCGTGCCGCATAGGCCACCGATAACACGTGGCAACGGTTATAGCTGTCACGTCGTTCAGAAAAAAATTTTTTTTTTGGAAGGGGGAAGCTGGGGACATGGCCCCCACTTTGTGAAATCCCAACCTGCTGGACCCCACACAGCAGAAACCACCATTTACTTATATCAGAAACCCTGGTAGAGACTCTCTCTATAAATCCCCTGATGCACAGCCCTCGCCTCGCTCACTTGCCTTTATGCTAATAAGATAAGAAGAAGAAGACTGGTAGTATTGCAGCAGTTCTCGTCAGTCCATTCTTCTCTGCTGTGGTCTGTTCTTTTATTGCCTCGTGTTCGTCTTCTCTTTCTCTGTATTTATTTCCCCCCAACAATCCCCGTAGTAATTTTGCTCTGTTATTGTTGCTCTCGGAAACTTAGGTAGTTTAGTTGTTGCCGTATTCCTTCTCTTAGCTCAATCTCGTCGTAAGCTCCGCTGTGGATAAGGACACCGCAATTCCCATCCCCCTCCCACCTCACCCACTCGCTCAACAACCCCATCTTTTCAGATTTTTAGATTCCAGCGGAAACAAACAAACCAGCCACAACCTCCTAATTATAATTAAAAGTAAGGAAAAACAAAAAAGAGAGAGAAAGAAAGCAGAATAGAGTTAGAAATCCTTCAACCTCTCATCTGGACCGTATTCGAGCGGTTTTCTTACTATTTCAATTTCAAAAATTTGTTGAAAGTCGATTGAAACCGTTATGGATCTGGTATTTTAGGCTCAACCAACTATCTGCTTTGATATTTGAATTCGGGATATCCGATTTCCTTTTGTTTGAGGGATCAAAAGAGAGAAGGAGGGTCCGATCTCCGTTCGTGTTTATTCATTCTTTCTTTCCTCGTTGCCACGAAACTCGAAAGTTAAATTAAATCCCAAAACGACGATACTACTAGCACAGCTTCTGTGCTATCTGTAGCTGAAGCAGGAAGGTTGTTTTGTTTTCTTTGAAGACTGATTTAATCGATTATTTAAATTTGGTACTGAGAAAATAAACAGAATGTCGGTGGCCTCGGGAACTGTAATTCCGTCGAAAAGCGGCCGCGGGGCCGTCGGATTGCCGTCGGTGACGAAGCCCTTTGCGAACAATCAATTGAATGTAGTACCTCTAAGTCGAGTGCTTGGCATTAGGTCGGCAGCTGGGAGGAGGAGTGGATGTGGTTTGGAAAGAAGTAGTAAACTTTTTGGAGCTAGGTTACCGCGAGCTCTAGGATCGGAAAGGTCGCATCTCTGGCAAACCGATGGGCCGGGTCGACCCCCGAAGCTTAGGGTGTTCCAGCTACGATCCGCATTGTCTCAGATCCCAGAGAAGCCGCTCGGTCTTTATGATCCTTCTTTTGATAAGGATTCCTGTGGAGTCGGCTTTGTTGCTGAACTTTCCGGCGAAAGCAGCCGTAAAACGGTATGGATTTCACCAATTTTTTTTTTTTTTAAAAAGACAAGAAAGAAACACACACATCCGCGCACGAAATCTCTACAGTCGATGAAGAATCAGTTTGATGTTTATTTATTTGACGCGTTTAGGTGACTGATGCGATAGAGATGTTGATTCGGATGAGCCACAGAGGTGCATGTGGTTGTGAGACTAATACTGGTGATGGTGCTGGCATTCTTGTGGCTCTTCCTCATGATTTTTACAAGGAGGTTTGTTAGCTATTTGCCATTTTCTTTGCTATTTCTTTTTAACCCGTGTTGTAAGCTCTGCTTAGCTGAAAATGGAAACTCCTTTTCTCGTTCAAGCAATCATTTTGAAGCCTGCAATTAGAAGTTCATGGTGGCAAATTTGTTTTTCCTTGATTTTGTTTTTGTTTGTGGTCAAGTATTTATGGTACAATCACAGAGGTTCTTGAATTGTTTTAGTATTTGCTAGTATTACTTGTCTTTTTATTTTTAATTGAAGAGAAGTGGATTAGGTGTTGGTAACTTAACTTACTTTTGATGTTAGTTTTGCTTGAAATGTTTAATAAATAGAATTGTTGAATTTTGATTGGTGGTGGATTTTATGCTGGGTCTTGATCTAACAGGTTGCAAAAGAAGTGGGCTTTGAACTACCGCCACCTAGGGAATATGCGGTGGGCATGTTGTTCTTGCCTACATCTGAAAGCCGTAGGGAGCAGAGCAAAATTGTATTTACCAAGGTAGTTTCAGACGGAAGTTAGTTGGATTGTTTTCTTGTTATTTTGGTATGATAAACGAGTTCTTTTGGACTTAATCTGATTCCAAAATGTTTTTTTATCTCTACTTTTAGGTAGCTGAATCACTCGGGCATACTGTTCTTGGATGGAGGACTGTTCCAACAGATAACTCCGGATTGGGCAAGTCTGCTTTGCAGACCGAGCCTGTAGTTGAGCAAGTATTTCTTACACCCACGCCAAGGTCAAAAGCTGATTTTGAACAACAGGTTGTTTCCTACTGTCCTCATTGTTCAGTTGATTTTCTTTCTTTGGGTTGATAAAGCATGCATACTTTTGTATCTTCCTAATGAGTCTTTTGCTCTTTTCCCCGCACAGATGTATATTTTAAGGAGGGTTTCAATGGTAGCTATCCGAGCTGCATTAAACCTCCAACACGGTGGTGTGAGGGACTTCTACATATGTTCTCTTTCCTCCAGGTTTGTCTAGTCCTTGATTGGTTATGGTTGTCTAATATTGACATTTGTCTTGCTCAAAAGCCTTACTGCTTCTTGGCTGTTGTGTAGGACGGTTGTCTACAAAGGTCAGTTGAAGCCTGCTCAGTTGAAAGAATACTACTATGCAGATCTTGGCAATGAAAGGTTTACGAGCTACATGGCCCTGGTAAATATTTTTTCCGTTCACTTGTTATTTTGTCTGCTGACTCCATACTTCACAACCAACAGCATTGGATCAACCAGTTAACTGAAGAGATGCAAGGTTGAGGAATGACTTCTGAGGCATTGAAGTATGAATGATCTCTTAAGTTCTTCCACACCCTTGATCAATATATGAGTTTGGATGCCAGATTGGATACTTTGGGCGAGTTGGTAAGGAACCTAATTGTGAAGTAAATCATGTTTGCAGAACTTGGTGGCTTCCTCCCCTTGATCAGTTTTAGAGGATGAGTCCTCCATCTTAATGGTGTGAAGAAAATTGTGTTTGGTCAAGGTAGTTTAGGGTTTTCAAGATGTTTTGCTGGCAATGACATCTACTAATTTTCCAAGTGCCCTGAACACAATTTCAATTTGATCTTGTGTAGGAAGACCACTTTTATGAATCATTTGAGAGGTATTATTGCTGATTATGTTGTTCAACTGAAACTTTCATGCAGATACACTCCAGGTTCTCAACAAATACATTTCCCAGTTGGGACCGTGCTCAGCCTATGCGTGTTTTGGGTCACAATGGGGAGATTAATACACTTCGAGGCAATGTGAACTGGTTAGTCAATTATTAACGTATATGAGCCGCTCATTATCTTCTGAATCTTTTTTTTGGCTAAATTCTTATGGAGAGAGCTCCATGTTAAATCCTTTATTGTGGAAATCGAAAATAAGCTTGGCCCTTGGTTGATTTTGCCCTCTTATCTGCTTTACGTTCTTTGTCAGGCCAATACGTCTGCCATTGAATGATACACCTTTTCAGCTTTGTCAAGATGTAACAAAAAATTTTGTTTCCTTTTTTTCTTTTGACATATCTTGATTATTTTGTAAAACCAAAAAAGTCTAGTTATCAAGTGCTGTAGCAAATTAGATGAGATTCCCTGATATAAAACACATATTTGGCTAAGCTGGTTTTAGTGTCAGTACAACCTAACTGTGTATGTTATGTTGTTGCATAGAGCAGTGAAGTTTTTATTTGTCTCTGCTGTTTGTTAGTCTCTAAATTGGACTCTTAGTGTAGGTATCCACTTCTTGGTATTATAAAAAGGAAAACTTCCATTTGTACTGCAAGTCTGATGTTTGTTTTATTCCGGGCATTTAAATTCATTTTTTGGCATAGTATGGGAGCAATTTGCTGACTATTTAGTTTCCAGAAGATGTTCCATGGCTCATTTGGATTATTGTACCAAACAGATGACCTTTTTTTTAACCTTTTTTAAGGGGGAGAGGGGAGGGGGTTGCCGGTGGTTTTTTGCATTCTGGATCTAGTTTTGGCCCATTTACTTAGAAGTGACAGTGGATGTACTTTTTCTGTTTTCTCTTTACCAGGATGAAAGCTCGTGAAGGTCTGCTAAAATGCAAGGAGCTGGGTCTTTCCAAGACTGAGATGAAGAAGCTCTTGCCTATAGTAGATGCTAGTTCATCTGATTCAGGTTTTAACTTTTTCCATTCCCAACATTCCTCTATGTGCCTGTACATATTCATGTTATATAGACCTGTAATTTCTTTAGATTGGTAAGCATCATATGTATCTTTCCCATGGAGATTTTGTGCACTTGGGAGTGCTAAATTGTGTACTTAACATGTCCATCCTAATTTTCCCATTTGGATTCTTGTGTAACCGGTAGTCATTTCTCATGTTTCAGGAGCTTTTGATGGTGTACTTGAGCTTTTAGTTCGAGCCGGTAGAAGTCTTCCTGAGGCTATAATGATGATGATTCCTGAGGCCTGGCAGAATGACAAGAATATGGATCCTCAGCGAAAGGCCTTGTATGAGTATTTCTCAGCCCTTATGGAACCATGGGATGGGCCTGCACTCATATCGTGTACGTGTTAAGAAGGATCCGAATTTTGGACTTGATGTAGTTAAATAGGATTATATTCTTTGCCCTTACATCAAGTTTCTTGCAGTTACTGATGGTCGCTACCTTGGAGCAACACTGGATCGGAATGGGTTGCGTCCTGGTCGCTTTTATATCACTCACAGTGGCCGGGTGATTATGGCTAGTGAAGTTGGAGTGGTAGATATCCCACCTGAAGATGTATCTAGGAAAGGAAGACTTAATCCAGGCATGATGCTTCTGGTAGATTTTGAGAAGCATGTTGTTGTAGATGATGAGGCATTGAAGCAGCAGTATTCGCTTGCAAGGCCTTATGGGGAGTGGCTGAAGAGGCAAAAGATAGAACTAAAAGACATAGTAGAATCTGTTCATGAATCTCAAAGGGTCTCTCCAGCTATAGCAGGAGTTGTGCCTGTGAGAATCCTTTGCTGTTGCTGACATTATTTTCAAGAATTTCATTACCAACTTCTTTTTTTATGATTCTGGTTTATGTTTTGCAACTTTTAGGCATCAAAAGATGATGATAGCATGGAAAACATGGGCATTCATGGGTTATTGGCGCCTTTGAAGGCTTTTGGGTATGCATCTATCTTTGTCATGCAGATGCTTGGACTAGGCTAGGCCTTTCCATTTCTGTGGGCTTTGGATTTAATTTCATGTTTTGTTTGCAGTTATACCGTTGAAGCTCTGGAGATGCTACTACTTCCAATGGCAAACGATGGTATTGAGGCGCTTGGTTCAATGGGAAATGATGCTCCCTTGGCGGTGATGTCTAATCGAGAGAAACTCACCTTTGAATACTTCAAGCAGATGTTTGCTCAAGTTACAAACCCGCCTATTGATCCCATCAGGGAGAAGATTGTTACTTCCATGGAATGCATGATAGGTCCAGAAGGTGATCCGACAGAAACCACAGAAGAACAATGTCACCGCCTCTCGCTGAAAGGGCCTTTTTTGTCCGTTGAAGAAATGGAAGCAATCAAGAAGATGGACTACAGAGGCTGGCGCAGCAAGGTCATAGATATCACCTATTCTGTTGGCCATGGTAGGAAGGGCTTGGAGGAGACCCTAGACCGGATATGCTCAGAAGCACATGATGCAATTAAAGAGGGTTATACAGCACTTGTACTTTCCGACAGAGGTACCACCAGTTTCTACTCCTTTCCTCCATCTCACTTCATATTGTTATTTGGTGGTAAAAATCCACTAATTTTTCATTCTGTGATCTTTGTAGCCTTCTCACCAAAGCGTGTTGCTGTAAGCTCTTTATTGGCTGTCGGAGCTGTTCATCATCATCTGGTGAAAAGGCTTGAGAGAACACGAGTTGCACTGATTGTTGAATCTGCTGAGCCTCGTGAAGTGCATCACTTCTGTACTCTGGTGGGATTTGGTGCAGATGCAACCTGCCCTTATTTAGCTATAGAAGCAATTTGGAGACTACAGGTAGATGGGAAGATTCCACCCAAGCCAACTGGTCAGTTCCATTCCAAGGATGAGCTTGTTAAAAAATACTTCAATGCAAGCAACTATGGCATGATGAAGGTTCTTGCTAAAATGGGAATATCAACTTTGGCATCTTACAAGGGTGCCCAAATATTTGAGGCAGTTGGCCTTTCATCTGAAGTCATGGAGAGGTGCTTTACTGGGACTCCAAGCAGGGTTGAAGGTGCAACTTTTGAAGCACTTGCTAATGATGCTCTTGAGTTGCATGAGCTGGCATTTCCATCAAGGGTCTTACCTGCTGGCAGCGCTGAGGCTGTAGCCCTCCCTAATCCTGGTGATTATCACTGGAGGAAAGGTGGTGAAATTCACCTGAATGATCCTCTTGCTATAGCAAAGCTTCAGGAAGCTGCCAGATCTAATAGTGTGGCTGCTTACAAGGAATATTCGAGACGGATACAAGAATTGAACAAGAGCTGCAATTTGAGGGGACTTTTGAAATTTAAAGACGAAGTGATGGGGGTTCCTTTGGAAGAAGTTGAACCAGCCAGTGAGATTGTAAAACGATTTTGTACCGGAGCAATGAGTTATGGATCAATATCACTGGAAGCACACTCAACCCTTGCTATTGCTATGAACAAAATTGGGGGAAAGTCAAACACAGGTACGTAGCTGATGCTTCTCTGAACATTGCAACTCTCTCTCTCTCTCTCTCTCCATCTCTGTGAAGGCACTGAAGTTGGTGTGATCTAAATGAAAGTATAACGAGGGATGAGTGTCTTTTTACAAAAACATTTTAATGCATACATAACTTTCCTTTTTTTGGGGGGGACAGGTGAGGGGGGTGAGCAACCATCTCGCATGGATCCTCTGCCAGATGGTTCAATGAATCCAAAGAGGAGTGCAATTAAGCAGGTTGCAAGTGGAAGATTTGGTGTTTCAAGTTATTACCTCACAAATGCTGATGAGTTGCAAATAAAAATGGCTCAGGTACAGCTCCATCCATTTCAAGAAATGTCATGTGATGCTGTCCAACTGTTCATGTTCTTTTATACCTTTATTCCCTGTGCCCCCACAGTGCATAGGCTCTTGTTCTTTATGAATTTATGTTCATAGGCAGATGATGCCCTATCTTCAAAGCACCTGTTGGTGTTTTTGCATCTTTTAATTGATATCTGCATTTGGATGTGGTGAGAGTAAAAGTGATCTAAAACATGCTTAATTCTGAAAAGACAGGTTTATAATCAATGTTTGGTTTCCTTGATTGCAGGGAGCAAAGCCGGGAGAAGGTGGCGAACTTCCTGGTCACAAGGTTATTGGTGACATTGCCGTGACTAGAAACTCTACTGCTGGAGTGGGGCTGATAAGCCCTCCGCCCCATCATGACATATATTCAATTGAAGATCTTGCTCAACTAATTCATGACTTGAAGGTATATCCCCAAGTTTCATGGTAATTTTGCTCGTGTGATTAGTTAATTTAGTTCTGGAGCATAGACTCTACTTGAAGGTAATAAGTATACCCGTTTCATTAGACGTGATTTTGCCTTATGTTTTTCTACAATTTGCAGAATGCAAATCCTGGTGCACGTATAAGTGTGAAGTTAGTTTCTGAAGCTGGTGTTGGGGTAATTGCTAGTGGTGTCGTAAAGGGTCACGCTGATCATGTCTTGATCTCGGGTCATGATGGAGGTACTGGGGCCTCAAGGTGGACTGGCATCAAGAGTGCAGGGCTCCCATGGGAACTTGGTCTGGCGGAGACCCACCAAACCTTGGTTGCGAATGACCTTCGTGGCCGAACTGTTCTTCAGACTGATGGCCAGCTGAAAACTGGAAGAGATGTTGCAATTGCTGCACTTCTTGGTGCCGAGGAGTTTGGTTTTAGCACTGCTCCCCTCATCACTCTTGGCTGCATTATGATGCGGAAGTGCCACAAAAACACTTGTCCAGTGGGGATCGCCACCCAAGATCCAGTTCTTCGAGAAAAGTTTGCTGGGGAACCAGAACATGTCATAAACTTTTTCTTTATGCTAGCAGAGGAAGTCAGGGAAATCATGTCTCAGCTCGGATTTCGAACGCTTAATGAAATGGTTGGTCGCTCAGATATGCTTGAACTCAATGAAGACTTGGTCAAGAACAATGAAAAGCTCAAGAACATTGATCTCTCTTTATTGCTTAGACCTGCTGCTGACATCCGGCCAGATGCTGCACAGTACTGCATACAGAAACAGGATCATAGTTTGGACATGGCTATGGATAACAAATTAATAGATCTGTCCAAAGCGGGAATTGAAAAATGTGTTCCGGTATATGTCGAAACTGGAATTTGCAACACAAATCGGGCTGTTGGAACCATGCTTAGCCATGAAGTAACAAAGCGCCACAGCATGGTGGGACTTCCAGCAGATACAATTCACATCAAATTCAATGGTAGTGCTGGCCAGAGTTTTGGTGCTTTTGTTTGCCCTGGCATCACATTGGAGCTGGAAGGTGACAGCAATGATTATGTGGGTAAGGGACTATCTGGTGGCAAGATCATTGTGTATCCTCCCAGAGAAAGCAGGTTTGATGCAAAGGAAAATATTGTTATTGGAAATGTGGCTTTATACGGGGCTACTGGTGGTGAAGCTTACTTTAATGGGATGGCTGCGGAAAGGTTTTGTGTGCGAAACTCAGGTGCCAAAGCAGTTGTGGAAGGTGTTGGTGATCATGGATGTGAATACATGACTGGTGGAACTGTTGTTGTGCTGGGGAAAACTGGAAGAAACTTTGCTGCTGGCATGAGTGGAGGAATTGCTTTTGTGCTTGATATGGATTCTAAGTTCCAATCTCATTGCAACTCTGAGTTGGTGGATCTTGATAAAGTAGAAAACGAAGATGATATTCTGACTTTGAAAATGATGATACAACAACATCAGCGCCACACCAACAGCAAGCTAGCGAAGGAGGTTCTTTCAAATTTCGATGATCTTTTGCCTAAATTTATCAAGGTCTTCCCTAGAGACTATAAACGGGTTCTTGCAAGCATGAAAGAAAAGGAGACTGCCAACATTGCTGCTGAAAGAACTGCAAGAGAAATTGAGGAGCAAGAAGAGGCAGAGTTGATGGGGAAAGATGCTTTTGAAGAGCTTAAAAAGTTTTCAGCTGGATCCTTGAACAAAAAAGCCAATCAGGTAAACTTTTCTGGGTAAATTACTTATTGGGAATGATATTTGACCACCCCAATAAAGTTCTTGGGAATGATTTTTTAAGAAAAACGACAAGCATGTATAGAAGGCAAAGTACATAGTAAGGTTCTACAAGAAGCTTTTTGTAGAGGGAAAATATCATTTCCCACAGCTTAAGCAGCTTGTTATATGTTTGTAATTTTTCTGGAGATTTCTATGGTTAGTATTTCAGTAGTTCCATCATCTGAAGAATTTAAGTAAAAGAAACTTATTCTACATACAGCTTTTACTCAATCAACACCAACAATTCACAAAAAATATCTTTAACAGTGGAAACTTTTAATTACACGCCTACCGTAATCTAGTAAATTGAACTTGATAAAACCTGTGGTTAATTACCTAAGCAGGTGAAGATTGCATTTAGTTATTGGTCATCTGAGTTGAACTTGAGTTGCTCCTTTTTTTAAATTATTCTTTCCTCTTTCTGGTTTTAATAGAAGCCTATAAAGCAACATTATCTTGAAATTTCTCATGAGTTCTCATCATTAACAGGTAGAAAGGGTCATTTCAGTTAAGAGGCCTACATGTGTGGCTGATGCCGAGAAGAATGGAGGTTTTGTTCGATACGAGAGAGAGGGTATTTCATATAGGGATCCCAACAAGCGGATCTACGATTGGAAAGAAGTTATGGAAGAACTGAAACCTGGTCCACTTCTTACAACACAGTCTGCTCGCTGTATGGACTGTGGCACTCCTTTTTGTCATCAGGTAACACTTCCCTTTACAGAACCTGGCACTGATATTTACTTTTTGTTTTTCCTATGCTGATTCATTCACTTATCAATCAGGTAACACTTCCCTTTACAGAACCTGGTACTGATATTTACTTTTTGTTTTTCCTATGCTGATTCATTCACTTATCAATCTTTTTAATCATGTATCTCTTTGAAAATAATATAGGAGAACTCTGGATGTCCCCTTGGGAATAAGATACCTGAATTCAATGAGTTAGTATACCAGAATAGATGGCGGGAAGCATTAGATAGGCTTCTTGAGACCAACAATTTTCCGGAGTTTACTGGCCGAGTCTGCCCTGCGCCTTGTGAAGGGTCTTGTGTGCTTGGTATTATCGAGAATCCAGTCTCCATCAAAAGCATTGAGTGCACTATCATTGACAAAGCCTTTGAGGAGGGATGGATGGTACCAAGGCCTCCACAAATGAGAACTGGGTATGCTCTTAAACTCTTTTATCTTCTGGGAAATTTGGCTTCTTCCACTAGTAGAGAAGTGCTTTTCGGTGTAGTTCAATTTTGCCGCGTGATAATAATTATTCTTGCTCTTACAGGAAGAGAGTTGCTGTTGTTGGAAGTGGACCTGCTGGCTTAGCTGCTGCTGATCAGTTAAATAGGATGGGTCATGCTGTTACTGTGTTTGAGCGTGCTGATCGAATTGGTGGTCTTATGATGTATGGGGTGCCCAACATGAAGGCTGATAAAGTTGATGTTGTCCAGAGAAGGGTTGATCTTATGGAAAAGGAAGGTATCAACTTTGTGGTTAATGCCAATGTAGGCAAAGATCCCTCATTCTCCCTAGACCGACTTCGTGAGGAACATGATGCAATTGTTTTGGCTGTTGGAGCCACAAAGCCCAGGTGAGTAGATGTATATGGTAGATGAAATTCACTGGATCCCTTAACTATGTTTAATGGTAAAAACTTGTTATTGATAATGCAGGGACCTTCCTGTTCCTGGACGTGAGCTTTCTGGAGTGCATTTTGCCATGGAATTTCTTCATGCTAATACGAAGAGTTTGCTTGACAGCAATCTTGAGGATGGCAATTTCATTTCAGCCAAGGGCAAGAAGGTAGTGGTTATTGGTGGAGGTGATACTGGTACTGACTGCATAGGTACCTCTATTCGACATGGTTGCAGTGGTCTTATAAATCTAGAACTTCTTCCTCAGCCTCCACAATCTAGGGCCCCAAACAACCCTTGGCCACAGGTTTGACCAATTTTTGCCTTCATTTTATTGTTGATCTCATAATTATCTAGCTGGTTTCTTGCAATTGTGTGCATATCTTACTCTCTATCAGCTTAAGAAATTTATAGTTTCCTGAGATATGTGCTTTATTTGGTTCCATTATTTGTTGTAATTATTTCTTTTGTTTGTTAATGTTTTTCTTCTCTCTCTGTTCCTGGTTGACAGTGGCCTCGGGTATTTCGCATAGACTATGGACACCAGGAAGCTGCTGCCAAGTTTGGCAAAGATCCAAGGTCCTACGAGGTATTAACCAAGCGGTTTGTGGGAGATGAGAATGGAGTGGTTAAAGGACTAGAGATTGTACGAGTCCAGTGGGAGAAGGATCCTAGTGGGAAGTTCCAATTTAAGGAAGTGGAAGGCTCAGAGGAGATGATTGAGGCTGATCTAGTTTTGTTAGCAATGGGCTTCCTTGGTCCTGAATCGGTTAGTACTGTGGAATTCTGATTTGTAAAACATGTTTTTATGTTATTGGCATTGCAATGGGGTGGTAAAACTAGTTTTGATGTCTTTGACTTGCCAACTGATTTCTTTTGTTCTCCTCGCTAGACCATAGCGGACAAACTTGGATTGGAGAAAGACAATAGATCGAACTTGAAAGCAGACTATGGGCGCTTCTCAACGAGTGTGGAAGGTGTATTTGCAGCTGGGGACTGTCGGCGTGGCCAGTCTCTGGTTGTATGGGCCATCTCCGAAGGCAGGCAAGCAGCTGCACAGGTGGACAAGTATCTCATGGAAGACACAACAGGCCTTCCTATTGATGGCAGAAGGCAAGAGGATTTTGTCAAGAGAGAACAAGATAGCAACAGACAGACGGTAAGGACATAGACTTAGAAGCCGCAATTACTACTAGCGTCTGAACGCAGGCGTGTACTGTAATTACTGTATGTGCAAGACACCATTTTTATTTGGTCGTCTGCTCGTGGTGCGCGGAGGATCATCAAGGAAATAAGCTGCAAAGAGGCTTGTCATCATGTGTCAGATACTAAAGGTCCGAGTGGAAGCATGACAATTTTTGGTGGGGTTGGTGTTAGCTTTTGTGTTAATGATGCCAATGTAAGCTTCTTTCTCTGTTCTTCATATTTTGTTTGTGTTAATTAAGTTTCAACTCTGTATTTGGCCGAAAGGTGGCCGTGGCTCACTATGTGTGCTAGTATCAGCAAAAATAATGTACAGTTTAAACGATTTATTTGCGACCCAAATAAATGCATGGGGAGTCCTAGTGATTGTTTACTCTTCTACTTACATAAAACTCGCTCGGCCTGTACGGCCAACGGGTGAACCCATAATAGGATCGAGTTAGGTTACTAATTAAATCGTTTCAATGGCAAATGTATTGACCACCCATCATAGGATCGAGTTACGTTACTTTAATTAAATCGTTTCAATAGCAAATCTATTGACCACCCAGCAGACGGACGAATCGATGAATTGAAAAAAAATTGCTGATTTTTGACCAAGTTTGACCGAATTTTTAATCTTCCGGCTTTTGAAGTTAACTCCTCTGTTTTCAAACTCGGATCGGATCGGCCTGTCCGACCGATCGAACCGGAAACCGGTCACTTGTCCGGTCCGATCCGAGTTTGAAAACAGAGGAATTCAAAAACCAGAAGATTAAAAATTCGGTCAAACTTGATCAAAAATCGAATTTGACCGGAAAATAAGAACCGGGCTTAACATCACCGTTGTTTTCGTGAGCAGCCTTTTTTGACTTTTGTCCTCAGATAACGGGAGGGAAACATATTCGGAGATTTGGAGCCATGATGAAAGAATCATTTTTTTTAACTTTTTTTTAAAGGTCAAAATATTTTTAATATTATATTTTGACCCCTAGATTGTTAAAATTTTTTTAATATACCTCAAATATTTCATACTTTGTAAACGTTGTCTTAAAGTTTGGTGTTATTTTTCAATTAAGTCTATAATCTGAATTCTAAACTTGTTAATGCTCATTAAATAATATAAATTGCTACTTAATTGTTCTAATTTCTTTATTTTTTCTTGTTAAATATATTTGAAACATCAAATATATATGAATACACCTTTATTAATATTAATATGTTATTAGGTATTTTACATATAATATTTTAATTTTTAAATAATTTTTATTTATGACGTCATCCGGTTGAACCCCGATCGAACCCATTGACCCCTGACTCCTGAACTCGACCTAGTCGATACCCGGTCCAGTTCTGAAAATATAGGTTAACTCGGACCGGACAAGTGACCGGTTCCCGGTTCGATCGGTCGGACCGGCCGGTCCGGTCCGAGTTTGAAAACAGAGGTTAAAATCTGTCTATAAATAAAATGTGAGCAAAAAGTTTTGCGTGGAAAATTTGTGTTGTGATTTGTCATTCTAAATGTATTCTTTCAAAATTTATCATGATATATACTCACATCTTTATCCCTACCAAATTTCCTATTTCCATAATTGCTCCCGCACCCTTCCCATGTTAGGCCTTTACTATTTAATAGCCTACTAATCAACAAAAGCACCAATAACCTCTTTTATTTGGAAAAAAAAAAAAGGAATCACTCCCATCTATAAGCCTAATAAAATTTTCAATAATCATCAACAAATTATTCTTTTTCTTTTACTAATATTTTTTAATATGCACACGCATAATGTGTGCCTTTTCATTTAATTATATATACACATATATATATATGTGTATCACATAATATAATATAATTATATATAATATTAAATTGATAATATGATATTTTTTTATGATAAGATAATATAATTTTACTTAACGATAATTTTATTATATTAATGTGAAAAATGTTTTGAAGGATTTTTTCTAATACGAAAGATGGAGAAATGGACTCATAAGATCATCTCAAACTTATTTCTGGTGGGCCATGCCTCTGGGCTTCATGGCAAGACAAACCCCTTTTAGTCCACCGGCTTGGAGCGGCTAGCCAGACGTGGCAAAATCGCCGCCCTGCCAAAACCAACACCATCCCCGACCGAATTAGTTAAATTGAATGGGCGGGCGGATGGCTTTTCTCCGTTATCCTCTTTTGGTAATAGAAGGGTAGGGAAATCAAGAAGAAGAAGACTTAAAAGGGCACAGACGCATGATGGCGAGGAATCCAGGCCGTCTATTGGCATCAATCATCATCCAGCAGTCGAATCCTAAATTGGGCATACGGTGGCCCTACGCCGTGTCCGAGTTCAACTCACCCACTCGACTCATTCACTCCTCCACTCCCTACCACCACCTATCCCAATCTCAACAACATCAAAACCATCCGACCAAGCACCAAGAAGAAGAAGCTCTGGCATCAGAGACTCAGCAAAAGCTTCAGAACCAAAACGACAAAGGCAACGATCAGGTTGATGACGATGATGAGGTGGACGTGAATAAAGAGACCGGTGAGGTTGGAGGTCCCCGAGGTCCCGAGCCCACCCGCTATGGCGATTGGGAACGAAAAGGTCGCTGCTACGACTTTTGAGCCTTTTTCCCTTTTTTTTTTGCCCTTTTAATCTGGAATGGCTGTCTTGAATATTCCTTTTTCCTGTTCTTTTTTTTTAAAAAAATTTTCCCCATCCTGTTTGTGTTGTAGGCGTCTGAATAAAGAATATAAGATGTTATTGATATGGAATCCTGTTTTATGACCTGTGTGAACACCTCCTGTTATTTATTTATTTATTTTTGAATCTTTCTTCGTGATGCTATATATGGCCTTAATTGAAATCAGCAACCTTGCAATAGACCTGAGATTTTGAATCAAGATCAAAACATACATGCTCTTTAATCGGTGTTTTTGAGATATGTATTCGAGTGTGATGATCTGGTAATGAGAAATTGTCGCATTGAATTGGTCATATTGAATTTTTCTTAGTCAAATTTTCTCTTGTTTGTTGATAACGAGTCTGATACAAAATAAAATAATTGGTCTTGCTTAAGCAGTTTTTTGTCGGGGGGTAAACAGGTTGTTTAAACTTTAAAGTGGAGGAGAAAGGATTCATCGTTCTAGATAACTGTTATTGTTCAGCAGGAGAGATTGACTGGTTACATTTTTTCCCCCTTTTGCCTGTTTGTTCTTGACCACGAATTAGAATCAAGGACCATTAATCTGATCTGGTAGCTTTAACTTTGATCAACCAAAATCTTTTCTGGTCTGACAGGAATAGCCTTGGAAATTGGGTACAGCTTTAGATTTTTGTTTAATGTTTTGAGTCAGTAAAAGCAGGTAAGGAGGGAATTACTGCAGAGTTGTTTCGTCTCTGTAAACCGTCCCCCGAAATAAAAAAAAGCCAATGTTTTACTGATTGTTTTTACTTTGATTTCCACTGAGTTTGGAATAGAATTTTCTATGTTATTCATATTCCTGGTTTTGGGACTTGGACTCTCTCTATATCTCTCTCTCTCTTTGAGCCACTCGGGACTTGGACTCTCTCTATATCTCTCTCTCTCTTTGAGCCACTCTTCTTAAAATGCTGGATCACATTCTTAGGGAAAATTCTGAGCCTGCTGATCAGTGAAAGACTGAAAGTAGAAGATTCATGCACCAGTTGAAATCTGCCTGCGGGTTGTTTACAAGAGAAAAAAAAAGAGACATCTGCAGAGTTAGGGAAAGCAACTCATTTATGTCCGCTTTAAAAACTGTCAAATTGGGGGCCGATCAGTTAATATAAATCAGGACAGTGACACATCCATTACATTCTTGGTTCAAAGTCGCGGTCGTGGCTCAGACCGTTCACATTGGTGTCGGTATATCGATCGCGGATTCGGCAAGACGCAAATTTTTAAGATATTTAATATTCTAAAAATTGTAAAAAATATGATACACAAAAATAATTTAAAAATAGCAAAAAATAATTAAAATTTGAGTTGACTCGGGGCGACTCGGTCGTTTTTATCCGTTTCGGAGACGTCTCGGACGAGTTTTGGACGATTCATTATCTCGAAATTATCTCGGACCAATATCGGATCGGAAAGCTCCGTTCCAGTGACGATTCGACCAAGTCGTCTCATTCTCGGCCCTCGGCCGAGTCTTTGAATCATGATTACATTAGGCATCAAAGAGGACATGGGCTTCCTTGCCCTTATGCTGCATTCCGCAATCAGTGTGTGTAAACTTGGATGGGTAGATGGTGGCATTGTCAATTAATTAACCAATTATAACTGGCATTTGAATTATTATCGTTAGGAAAAAAAAATTAATTAATTGACTCAGAAACTTGAGATATAATAATGCACAGCACAGCCAATCAAAGGTTTGAAAATCTCAATCCTTCGGCCTCCGCAGACTAGTAGTGGACCCGGGTCTTCTGCCTGCCACAATCAATACCTACAACTACTGCATTCGTATTCGTCTACGAAACCAATTCAAATCAATACCTACAACTACTGCATTCGTATTCGTCTACGAAACCAATTCAAATAATTTATAGATAGATAGATGTTCAACTAGAAGGGAAAATTTTATACCGAGCAGCAGCCTTGCTTGAAACTTGGGAAGTTTCCCCAATGGATCATATGCGGCAAAAACTTATTGCTCTGCTTCTCATTTCAGCGTCAAGCTTGATTGTCCTAGTCGTCTCATCCCCAGAAATCTGCACCGTCTCAGCATGTTACCCCAACGAACCTACGATTCGATTCCCGTTCCGACTGCAGAGCGTCCAACCAAAGGAGTGCGGCTACCCAGGCTTCGACTTAACCTGCGACAGCACCATTCTGATTACATCTCTCCAGCTCCAAAATGTAAATGCATCACCACCTCAGAGATTCAGCGTCCAAGCCATAGACTATGCCTCCCAAGAAATATGGCTAAATGATCCCGGCGACTGCCTTCCTCAGCGTCTTTTAAATTTGAATCTTTCGGGTTCTCCTTTCACGGCCGTCTCCCATCAAGATTTTACCTTGTTTAATTGCTCCATCCATCACAGACTTCACAACTTCAATCCTATAGCTTGTCTTGGTGGTTCTGGCTACAATATTGTTGCTACGTCTTCAGAGAGGGCTTCCAGGATCCTAGCTTCTTCGTGCAGCGTCGTATCAACCATTCCCGTCCCAGTTCAGTTGCCGTATTATGAGGAGGTTTGGTCCTCGGATCTCAGCGAAGACATTAGACTCACTTGGGATTCACCCCAATGCGGCAAATGCGAGTCAAGGGGGGGAAGATGTGGGCTCAAGAGCAATTCCACTGATCACATCGAATGCATAACTCAACATGGTAACTTCTTCTTAATCATCAGCCTTTCTGTTAATTAGTCCCGTTAT